TTTTATTTTTTAAAATTAGGGAAAAACTTGTGCAAAAAAAATCCTTCCTGTTTCGTGTTTTTTTTTTTTTTTTAAACTTTCCTAACTTATGTTGGGACCTTTCCTAAATTATATTGCTCCGTGTTTTAAAAATCAGGTGAGTTTCTACGTAGTATGAGAGCATAGCAGTGTTCCATAGTAGACAAGTGGTTTCTTTGGTTGCTCAGTAGAGAGAAGTGTGTTACTGTCATACTGTGTCATGGCCTAGCAGGGCTGATCGCGTGTTAAGAAGGTAAACCGATGATCTCTGGGATAACGTTAAACATCTCTGATGGGCGTTAGACATGGAACTCCAAATGTTCTACTTAGTTGTGCTCCAAAATCATATACTTAAAAGCAAAAAAAAAACCCAAGCGCTTTGCCGTTAGTTGCAACAGCACAAGCCAGTTTTGCTGGGCTTGCTCTTATAATGGTAGCTTTCATGTGCCAGCATTCAGAAACAGTAACTGGGAGGGTAAAGTGCCTTTTTCCTCCTTAGACCTCAGTTTAAAAATGAATACAATTGTGTTTTCTTGTTTTATGAAAAGTCTTACTTAAATTTTGAGGCTTTTGTTAGATTTTAAAAACGGCTTGTCAAGAAGCGTGCAGCCCTTTCATAATTACTTATGTCTATAGAAACTATTTTTTTTCTTCATTTGAAAACCCTTTAAAATCATTGGATAAAAGTCAGAGCTGCAGGTATTCAGAGCCAGTAAGTAATTGCAAATTCACCAAACAGGTCCTCAGCTAGTAACAGTAGTAGTGTCTTGAGTGCTGAAAGCTCCATATGCCAGCCCTTAGCCTGTCTAATCACCTTCTTTTGATTTTGTTACCATAGATTGGAAACTGCAAGGAGCTGCTATGTACAGAATTTATAACCTAGTCCTGGTACTGTTTTCTTTGAGGTCTACTCTGTCAACTGCTCTGGAAAGATTTACTGTGGCCTACCAACCAGAAATCTTTGAAAAGTATTAAGGAGCCACCTTGCATGTATATATAATGTGATGGTTGTTTTGTACTTGCTGAGCTTCTTATAGGATGGGAAGATGTGCTGTTCTCTTCAGGTAACAGGATTAGTGCTTCAGGGGGTTGAAAACACCTCAATTGTTTAAATTGGTCTAGGTAATTTTGACAGCCTGTGAATTTTACAGTTCTTCCCTCTGTCCTGTTAAAAGAGTAGGTACGAAGAACTAAGCCTGATGAAATGCTCCAAAAATAAAGCCCATGCAAGTGAAAAAGAAGATTGGGAAGAGAAAGTTGTAATGACTATTAATAATGAAGACAAGCGTTTAATGTAGGGGAAAAATTTTTGAGAAGTTTTAAGTACTGGGACCTAACATGTGCTGCACAGTAGTCTTGAGTCCACGCTTACTCCTTCTGAATGTCTAGAACTGAGTTACAAGACTGTGTAAATAATTCAGAAAACTGTCCTCGATTATCCAATGTCAATATTCTTCATTTTTTTCCTTTCAGCATTTCACGAAGTCTCCGTTTACCCACAGAAGGAACTTCCCTTTTTCATCCATTTCACAGCAGGCTTATGTTCCTTTTCGGCAATGCTCGCCCTCCTCACGCACCAGTTCCCTGAGCTGATGGTCATTTTTGCTAAAGCTGTAAGTATTGCCTCTGTCATGGGGCTTACTTAGGTAACTTGTGGGATCTTTGGGAGTTTTGAGGTCCATGGTGAAGTAGGCTCTCGTCAGTCTCGTGCTTGTGGGGCGTGAATTATTTTATCTCCTTTTGTAAGAATCTAGTTAGTGACAAACACTTGTTGAAACTTGGGCAAAATGTCTATTTTGACAAGAAGGTGAGCTGCTACTGTAACGTACCGTGGCTTTAATTTGTGCTCTTATGGTGAGAGAGCAGCATTTCAGCACCAGAGAAATTTTGCCACAGAGCGCTGTGTTGAATATGGATTTTATTCTTGTGGAAATAGAAGACTGGAGTGTGAGAGCCTCAAAAAATAAATTTGTTGACTGGAGATTTGAGAAGTGAGTAAAAGGCAGGCTGGACTGCAGGAAAAACAGGTCTCTTGCTGAGCATTGGAAACTAGTAGCGTGATGTGAATAGAACGGACGAGAACAGAGATAAAGTAACTGTTAACTTCCAAGCTAGGTTCTGAAGTTAGTTAGCTGTCACTTACTTTTGGGAATTAGAGCAATGGTTTTATACCTCATCTGGTTCTAGTTACTAGATGGAGAACGTGTTCAGCAACCGCAGTTCTGTCACCTGAGTGCCTGTTCAAGGATAGAAATTGGACTTGGCAATGGCAAACAGGCTTGTAGCTAGATACGTTTCTAAATTGTGCTGCTTTAAATACATCTAAACATGTCTGCTGTTGAGTCATTTGTTCTTCTGGGTGCCTTCTGTGTCCATCTCCTTCCTCCTTCTCTCTGCCTTGTTCTCTTTAGGGTTTCTTTTCCTTGCTTCTCTGTTAATATTGCTGGTGGCTGTAACCTTGTCATCTTTCCCTGGATGCTGAAAGTTGTGCTGTCTTACTTCGGCAGAGGGAGAAACTGCATAGGCAGCTTCCCCTCCTGACTTCTCAACTGAGCCATGCAGTATATTTGGCCTTTCTTGAACTGTGGATCTCATGCAGTAGAGCAGAGTGGCAAATGAAGAGCTCTGAACTCTCAATGAATCATTTATTCTAGCTTTGCTAGTCAAAATAGAGGGTGAAAGGTGTTAGGCTTTCTTGCTGTTTCAATGCAGCAGGTAATGGAGACCCGGGAGGTAAGCTTTTTTCCTTAAGAATACTTTGTTCCTAAAAGCGTTGGCTTTGCTGGCGCTTCTAGCCTACAGCATCCAATGCAGGTCTGAGAGTGGGGCCCCATTTCCACACAGTTCTGTTGATCTTTATGTTGGAAAATGTAGTTGGACATGCCAGTGACAAATTTCAGTGCTGCTCATAATTGGCTGGGTTCATAGTAACTAGAGTCTAACTATCTGCTTGGTTAATTCTGTAAGGACTGCATTAGCAAAGCTGTACGATTTCCAAAGAGATACGAGGTCAAATGTTACGCTAACAAAGACTTGCTTGGTGAAGTTCTCTCTGCTGGGTTTCTTGAACCAAAAAAAGATTTTGTATGAGTGAGTTGGCTTTGCGTAATGGCATTTTGAATGTCAAGTGACATGTTCAAACGCAGGGGAAAAAACTCCCAGGGTCTGGTCATTTGGCAGCGTGTTTATTTTGCTTATTTTCTGTAAGAAAGGATGGATAGTGTCTATTCAGCTGAAAAGGTGATCAAGAAGCATGCATATTGCCGCATTGTTCCACCAACCAAGTCACGGTGGTGGCAGACACAGACGAAGGGGTTCTTGCCACTCACCGTGCTAGCTTAATACTGGCAAAAGTGGAAACTGGGAATTGAGATAAACGGACAAGAAGTGAATTCTGTATTAATCTCTTGAGATTGACAGCTGAGAAGGAAATACCATCTTCCAGTATTCTGCTATTTTAGATAGAGTTAACGTTAACTCCCAGTCATGCTCTAATGACTAATATTCTTCCTTATTTTAATTATTGTATTATTGTACTCTTGATCCCTTTCCTGATGTTTTCAGAAGCATTCAGAAAACTTGTAAGAAAAATGATATTCAATATCAAACTAACACTTCCAATTTTATTCAGAGATTGCTTCAGTATTTTAACTATAGATAATGCTGTGATGGCTGCTGACACTTTATGAAGCATTATCTCGTGTCTGGAGGGATGTGGCAGTAGCATCTAGTTGAATTTTCATACCGAAAATGGAAGTTTACCTTTAATGACACCTGCCTCTCCACCCAAGAATACTATAATAAAACAATTATTATTTGCTGTGCTTTAAGCTTTCTAAATGAAAAAATTTTTCCTGTGTATTTCATTATTTCAAGTATTTTTTCATTATACTGTGTTTTAACTTCCTAAATGTAGTAATTTGAGATAATAAATTTCTAGATGATAGATACCTGGAGTGCTTTGGCCTTAGTGAAAAAGCGATACAAAATATATTTCCAACAAATTGTTGAATTTCCAGCAAATCTAGAACACAGTTTTAGGAAACACAATTGGAAAGTATCGTGTATGTGGAATTTTTCACTATAAATCTGTAAGTGACTTGAATATGACTACGTAGATTGCATTTCAGTTGCTTCTTAATCAAACTGTTGTTTCCAGCAATTGAATCTACAGTGAACTGCATGCCTCTAAAGGGTTTTAAGAAGTCAAATACCTTTCTATTGACTTGAAAAGTCAGAGTTTACATATTTTCATTTGTTAGTGCTTGAGTTTGTTTCCTCCATAATAAATCACAGGGTAAACCTTGGCAAATTGCTAAAAATATTCCAAGTGGCCAAAAATCACAATGAAGCATTTACTAGTTCCAATGTATACAGTGTAATACACCATCAGCAGAGACTGGAGCGCTGGCACCGGCTGCGAGCCGGCTGCAGTCCTGCCTCCGCGCTCCCTGGCCCTGGGACCAGGCGCCAGAGGGATTTTCGTTGTCTTGCACAGGTGGAAGGGTTTGCAGGCACTAGGGACTGGTGCTGGCAGAAGTGCTTAGCATTTACGGATCCAGTTAGAGCCAACTGTGGCTTATTAGTTCTCTTGGACTCGGACTTTTAATATTCTTTCACGAAGGGAAGATGTGCCATGTGAGCCAGTGCCGGTGAGGCCGGTGGCATAGGCTCCGTATGGCCTGCGGTATGAGTGCAGGTGCTCTCGGTGGGTAAGAGCTCAGCCTTGCTGTTGGTTTCAGCTAGATTTCTGATCTCTTGGAGAATCACTCTGTTCTTGATCATCAGAGACAGCTCTGTTTCTTAAGTAGTTGCTGTTCGGAATTGTCTCAGTAAGTGACAGAAGGGAGGAGGTATGCAAAAGGGATGACGGTAATCTATACAGTTCACTGAGCAAGCTGAAAAATACTCCGTTACATAAAACAACTTCTGTTGAAACTGCAGACAAAAGGATCTGATTATTTTTCCATTCAGTATGAATTTTTAGTTTTTAATAATTACATAGGCGGAGAACTGAGTAGCTATGTATCATCTTGCAAAAGTGATGTTGCACAATTCCTTCTATAATATCTTATAAAGATACCAAGAAGTCTGCCTTCAAGAAAACAAGAGATGCAGAGTGACAGCAGGCACTGTAAATAGTCTTCTCGGAAGTTCCTGAAAACAGCCAACATGCTTACCTGCCAAACCAATCCCATTTTTTAAGACCGAACCTTATGCTAATGGAATAGACAAGTATTAGTTAATATTAAAGTATTGAAAAAATATTGCAGCAGTGTTTCTGCTGAATCCTACTGAAAATAACTTCCTTGTTCAGGGAATTGGACAAAATCCTAAGACAGTCCATGTTCCAAAGAGTTTTGATATGGATTGCTTGATATTTTCACAACAAAGAAAGAAGTCATGGGACTTAAATTAAAAATTGGCTAATTTGTATGATTGTGAGATTAGGAGAAAACATTTCTCATCCTGGTTGCTCCGTAGCTCCCCATTAGAGGATGCCTTGCCATTTTGCTGATAGCAGCCATCTAGAGACAGAAAATAGGACTAAACAGAGCCCCGTCTGGCAAGTCCTGCTTTCTGTGACACTCTGCTTTACTTTCTGAACAAATCCCCCTACCACTTTCCCCAAAGCTCATTAAGTGAGACTGGAGAATTAACTTTTTAGCCAGCTGCTGAACTTTTCATATTTATAAACACTTGAGTCTTTTGCTTATCTAAGAGAAAATGTGTATAGTTTGGAGATGTGCACTTCCCTGCCAATGTGTAATGAGTGGTTCTACACTTGATAGAAAAAAAAGCCTGAAGTTTCCTGTCACAGCTGAGTGTCGATGCCAAGGGCAAAGGTTTCTTGCCTTGCTAATCTACATCTTAACTCATGCACTTAATGTGAAGGTGCCACACGCAAACAGGCAGGGGAGAAGCTGGCTGCCATGAAAAGCTCCTGCACTGCTGTGAATGTTATGTTTTAAAAGCCTTTTTAATGTAATATTTGAGGTTATGATATAAGCCAGGAGGGCCAAAGTAAAACCCTCAAAGTAAATGAGTCCTGTCATTGCTGCCTCATGAAAAGAGGGTTTGTACGAGGATAACACAAGTCCCAGCGGAATACTTGGGGGATGGGTTGAGAAGGTGCAGGGGAGTTTGCACCATTTGTTTTAGCCTTATCTTTAATTCTGGAACTGTTTAGATGGCATCTAGAATATGGATCCTGTCTGGAAGCACGGGCTGGTCTTGGTGGATTGTCTGTTGGGTTTTCACACGTTTGAGTCAAGAAAATACGCTACCCTCCTCCCCAGTCTGTTCAACACTGAAGGCACAGTGCTCAGAGCAGCTGGAAGAGTTGTAGCACAGAGAAACGCCGTCCTAACCCGTCCTGCTTCTGCCTAGGTGCTGCGGGTGCTGTGGCCTGTGAGTGCTCCCAGCGTTCTGGCCTCCAGCTGAGTGGACCGCGCCGGGGACGCAGGGGGTGAGTGGAGAAGGCTGGAGCCGTGGCTTCCCAGAGGGTTTTTTCTTCTTCTGTGTGTCTTGGCTAATATTTAATGATTACCACAAGCCTATTTCGTGGTGTCAGCATTGAGGGGATCATAGCTCTGTTGCCTTGAGGGAAAGATACTGGGTGGTTTTTTGTTCATACCTTGAGCCTGTAAAAGAACGTTGGTTTTGAAATTGAACTAATTTGTTGTTGTTGTGTTCTGTTTCTTCCAGTGCTTTGGGAATCTTCTTTCACCCTTCAGCTTTGTTATGGAAAACATCGAGGTCCTCCTGCTGTCCAGTCTCTGGCATCAGCCAACTCCAGTGTGACTGGAGCGTGCTTTCCACGATGGTTCGATGTCGTCGTTCTCACGAGCCTCACCCCCCGTGGTTAGCTGACCCCTAGACATGAGGGGCAAAGAAGAAAGCTGTGCTATTCAAACTGGTATCTTTGACGGGCTTCCATGTTGGTAATGGTGCTTAACGTATGAATTTCTTCTTTGGCCTTAGTCTGTAATCATCTAAGAAAATAGTTTTTGTTGAGCAATACCTTATTGCTCTCTTAATCACTTGTACAACTGGAAGCTAATACTTCCTCTGTAAGAAAGGAGAGGACACAAACTGAGCAGATGTTTGGAGTATTGACACTTCCTTCTCAGCTGCAGATGCACCAGATAGTTGGCTTAGATTTAATTTTATAAGCCTTTTTCAAAATATTTGTTAACAGCAAAGTATGGTTCTGCTTTCTTTATTAAAAGATTGCTTCTTAACACATTGAATTTGTTGACTTCTTAAGCATCTGTTTAATACAGATTATAGTGTGCAAACAAAGATTTGTTTCTCCTGTATCCTGTAAGCTTGCATTACACAAGGAAATTGTAGTATAAACTCCTCTATTTCATATTGCTACTTTAGATTTAATTGTGCATCTTTTGTCTTTCAAACCGCTTTGCCTTGAAGAACAGGATGGTTTCTGAAACTGCCAGAAGTGGTTGTGATATCTGCATGGGAGTCTTTTGGGGAGACCTGAACTTTGAGGTGTTAGTCCAAAGTACTGTCGTTGTTGATATCAAGACTTGAAGAGAACTCAGATGTGGAGCACTCTTCAAAGGAGTTGCTTCATATACGGACCAGCCACAAGGGTTTGTTTACTGCAAAGGTGAAAAGATGGCTGTGGCAGCCAAGTGGTTTGAGGTAATTGGTGTGACCTCCATTTCCACTCTCCCCCGTTAGAGAAAATGTCTGCTTTTTCACATCGGGTCTGCTGCTCAGTATTGAGGAAGCAGAGTCATGTTAGCCAAAGCTTCTTAAAAGTGGAAATGATAAAAATAGCACAGGCTTGGGGATAAATGCTAATTCTGAGCACGTGAAAAGTTGTCCATCATCTTACATTTTACAGATAAACACATATCCTTACCCACAATAACTAGGGAGATTTTACGTGTTTAATCTTCGCTGATCTTTGTGAAAGATTGATGTAAACCATGACGTTGATGGCTTCTTTCAAAGGTGTTGTAAATCATTCTAGTTGCTGAATCCTGGATGGAAGAAGCTTGCTGTAGCCTACTCTATTCTCTGAAATAATACCTAAATCAATCAATTACAGGTCAATTTGAATTGACTTAGAATCTATCTTGACTCAGAAGACTGATTTTTTTGTTTGTTTGTTTGTGTTTTGTTTTCTTTTCCCCAAATCCTTCTTTACCTTGTAAACAAAGTAGTATGCAGTGGACCTATGCATCTCATGTAGCATAGCTTATTTGTAACCCTGGCTGAGAGGAAACACACGTGTTTAGGTAGAAATGCCATTGTTGCTCTCCACTGTATATTTCTATTGACTGGGCTTTAATCCAAGTTAAATACTTGAATTCATTGAGGAGTCAAGAGGGGAGCCCTACAGAAAGGTACTACCAAATTTTTTTGAGTTGCCTAACTACTAGTAGGTAATTTTCTCAACTTTCTTTCCAGTTGAACGCATGCCACTGGGGCTGTTTCTCACTGTGGAATCATTGTGGTGATTAATAGATATGTTGTGTTCATGTAATTTCACTTCTTGGTCCGCAGGGGCCCATAAGGTAACCAACCTAATGCTTTTTAAAGTTGAACATTTTCCAGCGTTTGCGTGGGGTTATAAATGAAGCACTGCCTCCCATGTATCATCCCAAGAGCTGCTTTCTTTCACTGTCCTCCCCTGACATAACAGTAACAGAAAGGGGATGGGCTTATGCTGAAAGTATAGCTGGCAACAGCCTATGTAATGAAAATCTTCCTGTCTCTCTAGAAGTGCCATAATTCTTGAGGAAGGAGGAGCTCTCTGTATGATTTCCTAGCAGGATTGTTCATGCTTTATAGGAACACTCATTTGCCACTTAGGAGCCGGGACTTGCCACCTGATCCATACCATAGTAATACCATATCAGTCCACATGCAATTAAGTTGCATGCGTGTGTGTGTATATGTATATATAAAATGACTCAGGACAGATAAGCATTGATGGTTGCCATTTCTATGAAACATGTACCATGGTGACCGTAGAGCCATTAGGATGGGAAAAGCCTTTCCACGAGGCTGTATGTGATGTTGGTAGAATTCCCAAATTTTCGTTTCATTCAGAGTAGCCAGTGAAAGTCAAGCAACTTGAAAATCAGCATTTATTTATATACCTGGTGCTAGTACGTGTATTTGTAAAATAGGGTAATTATAGTCTCTTGGATTCATTTGGGCAGGATTTGAGTTTGGGGCGGGTTTGGTTGGTTGGGTTTTTTTGTTGCTCGCAGTGTCTCGCCATGTCACGACAGATTGGGTTTTGATCAGAGTGTCTGGGAGGAGGAGGAATGCTGCTCTTCTTCCTGCCAACCTCCTACTTTTCCAGAAGTAATCTCCAAAAAGGCCAGGAAGGGAAGGAAAGAGGGACGTGTTACCACAGGTAGTAAAGCTATTGTTTGTGAGGCAATTAGGCAGCTAAATTCTTGTGTGAATTTGCCCTATCTTACCACTGATTGTCATGAAAAGCATCTAAAGATCTTTGTGAATCAGGACTTCTGCTGCATGTGCATCTGCAGAGATCACACAAGCAGCATTTGTTACCTTGTTATTGAAACAACTTTCTCATGTTGGCTGCCTTTAAATGAAGTATTTGGAAGTTAATACCTAAACGCTATTGGCTATTTGATGTCATTTAGACACACTAATCCTCTCGGCCTGACAACGTCTGTCAGGTGTACTATTCCTCTATACCTACTTTATCTGAGGAATTAATCCATTTGGAAGAGCGACTGCCACGGCTTCAGCCTGGAACTGGCCCCTTCGTACAAGGAGGAGCGTGTCCTGACGGCACAGCGGGTGCTACCAGAGGTCTGCGGTGGCTGGTACCAGCGGCCCAGGGAAGGGTGCGAGAGCAAGCCAAGCCCGTGCCTGTCGCCGGAGCGCTCTCCGGCCGCTGGTGGTGCAGGGTCGACTCCTCCAGAGGTGATGACTTTGTACTGAACGGCTTTCAAGGGGACAAACTATCCATTGGCGCTATTATAATAACAAAACTCTTAAAGCAGCGGTGAGGCAGTTTAGATGAATAACTATTTCTGGGTAACAGGGTCTGCTCGAGGCAACTCCAGTTCATGTGGGCTTATAAACCTCATCAGAATTATCCTCCAGGGAATGAGGCCTCTTGCAGTTACTTACCATGCTGCGAGCCCTCCGTTCTTTGAAACTGGGGATAGATGCGTGCGTTACTCGCTTTTATGCATGTATATATGTGGCAACAGGACTTGCCATGCTGTAAGAAACCCTGGTCGCTGAGGTTACGTTGACAAATTCATAGTGGAGATGGTCACCTCTTGGCCCTGGCTGCTGCGCTGGGGTGGGTCTCAGTCCGGGTTTGTCGCAGGCCTGTTCCCTTCCCGCATCTCCTCCGGCGCGGGCCAGGGTTGTTTATTCCCTGCTCCTCATCCTGGAATTGTTGTGAGGGTGCCAAGGCTCGTAGATCCATGACTCTGAACAAGGCAGGGTTTAAAGGTCATAGTCAAGACCATTAATAACAAGGTGCAAACGGCTGGTTTATATGTAATGTGAAGCTTTTTACTTATTTCATTTTTGCACTTTGGGGGCTCTGTTTGCTTATGGAGCACTTGGTGTCTGGTACCTATTTAGGCTGAGAGCAGGCAATTGGGTTCCTTCAGGCCTTCAGAGGAATGCAGAAAATTGTTCTCTGGTGTTGTAATTCTGCTGGGATAACTGGAGCTTATTTGTCTCACTGCTTATTAAATGCATACTTGTCTTGAGGTCCTCTTTTTTTCTGAGAAACATTGGGTGAATCCCAAGGACCACAAGCGAGAGGAAGATTCCAGGGGGAGGGGGAGAATGAAGTGCCTGCACCTCTCTACAAACTGCATCATCCACCTCCGGTGCCAGCAGGATGAAGAGGTTAAATATGAGAGCAAACTCCCGTAGAGAAAAGGAGACGTACGTATGGGGCTCGTACGGACATAAATTAATTTTGCCCTTCCCCCTGCCCAGAGATGACACGCTGAGGGGAGATGCACCTCCCAAACTACTAATGTATGGGGTGTGTGGTTGGGAGCCACGTGAGGCTGCGCTGAGATTTCGGAATGGGACCAGCTGTGGAGGTAGGGAGCAGATGTGCGCAGACACTGAATTAGCAGAGGAGTGTTGGTAGCGAGGGCAGAGAGGGTTCATACTCTACCAGCCTCTGAGAGTACCCAGCTTGCCCTGTTTTGCTGTTACAAAGGACAGACGGACTCCTCCCTTCTCTCTTCTGCAGTTCAGGCTGTATGGCCGCATGGGTGACGTGCGAGCTATTCTGATCTGCTTACGGGTCAAAAATCTCTTCTAAACATCAGGTCACATTGACAGCAGCAATCACAGTGGGCTTCTGTGTTCAGTCTTCTGTTGTTTGAATTCACCTAATTTTTAATAAAGGTGGATAGAGAGGAAAGGCAGCTTCAGTTTCCAGCTCTGGCTCCTGGCTCCCTCCTCCCTTGCTTGAGCCTCCGAAGCGGGGCGTACTCGGCATGCCCCAGCCCTTAGCGCTGGAGGAGGAAGACAGTGATCAGGGATGCTGCTCATGTGCTTGGAATTTTCCTCATTTCCAGCTTCGATTGCTGTATTGTGCTTTTTGGTAGGCCCTTCGGTGAGTCTGGTCATTGGGGAAAGCTAGATAACACACCCACACTTATTGCATCAGTAAGGGTGCATCCACGGAGATGAATACGTTTCTCCATTGGGGATCTTCTTGCTTTGGTTCTTTCTGGCCAGTGACATTTTCCTTTTACTCTGGATGCCTTGAATTGTGCAATCATACCGTGGCCTCATCGGCTCAGACCCTTCTCTTAAGAACCTCTTGATTTCTTTTCTAATTTGGCTGTAGGCTATCATCAGTTATAAAACAGTGTGACACAGTATGTGACTATTGCATTCTCCTGCATTGACTCATCAGCTGAGATTCCAGAGCAGTAACCCCCTGCTGCTAGCTGGAGCAGCCCTCCGTGACGCGGCTTCAGTAAGAAGGGATGTGAAAGCTCCCACACAGAGCTTGACAGGTTATGCAAATGTTAGTCAAAATGCCCAATAAATCTGTCCCGGGGAGCTGGACCTCTTACAGCAGATGACCCCCCCAGTGCACGCTGGCGCAGGCACACGAGCAAAGCCTGTTGTGTAAGCGTGAACGTGACGGTGAGCAGAAAGGGCCCACGGCAGCAACGAGGGGGTTTCGGGACTGGGGTGTAGCTGAGCAGTGTATACGCTCTGCATGGCTGGGGGTCAAAAACTTCATCGATCTTATCGCTACATCCATCCAGAAGAACGGTGGTGTCACCTGGGCTAAGGCACGCTCTCACTCGCACGTGGTTTAGTGGAGAGAATTCCCCAAGTTTGTGTGGATCCCATGTTTCCAATGCCTTCTGCCTCCTCCCGTGTGTCCTGTCCAGCTTCTCCAGAGAAGGTAATTTATTCAGAAGCTCATTAAGCAATTAATTCTGCTCCTCGTCCTTGAGTTCAGACATGCTTTTGACTGGAGGATAATCAGAAGATGATCTCGCATCAAAGGCTCCCTGCACGTTTTAGGCAGATTACTTAAGAGGGGCTTGTGAGAGGAGCTGAGTGTTCCCTGACGAGACTGCAGCCTTCGTAAACGTTTAGAGATGGAAAACATCTGCTTGCTGAGGATGAGTGTGCCGAAGGGGACCTGCGGCAGGGCTCACCTGCGGGAAGGCGTAGACCGCTCTGAATTTCCTTCAGCCCGCGATGGGACGTCGTCTTGCACAAGCACTGGGAGTTAGCTCGAGCTGACCAGTCTGTTTCTGATTCCCAGGCACTGTGCTTTTGCTAATTGCTTGTTAATAAACAAGAAGCAAATGTAGCCTGGCGTAGCCCTTTGCAGAAGAAACGCTCACCTCTTCTGTCGGGTGGACTCAAGCTGTCTCCGACTGCTCCTCCGGGTGCTTCTGTAATACTGGTACCTGCTTCCAAGTATTTTTACTGCTCCGATTGACTGCCGTGCTGGGACAGGGGAAGGCAGCTGGGCAGGGCGTCCCACCGCGCCGGTGCACCCGCAGGGCTACGGAGGGTTGCCTTCTCAGCTGTGGTTATTCTACAAAGTGCTGAAGGCATCCCGTTTTAGTATCCCGGTGATGATACGGGAAGGGAGGAAGCCAGAAAACGCAAGACAACCTGTCCTCGGGAGTTTTCTCCTTTGTTTTAAAATGCTGAACATCCGCATTCAAAGGGAAGCCATATTTTGGCAGCAGCCATTGATTAAGGCGTCATTCATCAGGTGGGCCTACAGATCTGCTACGGAGCAGTATTTCTGCTGGAAGACACCTCCCAGGGGTCCCCTGGAGAGGAAGAAAGGTTTATTGACGGCCGACCCCGGCTCCCCAGGCACCGGGTCGCTCCCAGCCCAGGGAGCGTGTCCCGCTCTGGGAGCAGGAGGGAGGGAGGCTCGGATTGATTGCCGAGGGGGCAGCATTTTTTTAAAAGTCTGTCGTAAATTGATGGTAGGTGGAGCAGTAATGAAGATAAATGAGGGAGCTCTTCCCGGTAGATTAGCCTGCGTGCTGACGGACGCTGTGCTACAGCAGGCTCGAAATGCCTTTGGCCTGGCTCAGACCTCCCGCTCACCTGCCAGCATTCCTCGGCACAGCCGAGACGCAGCAAATCTTCAGGGCAATTGCCTCCCCTTGAAATTCAGAGGGCTTTGAAGGGCCCGGGGTGAGACCTGGGAGCCTCCCAGGTAAACACCAGCTCGAGTGCACGTTCTGCAAGAGCAGAGAGGGCGAAAGGTGCTGCTCAGCCCTCTCGTGCTGTCAGTATGGGATTCAAAAGGGAGATGGTTTAATTCTATAAGAAACGGGTTAGGCAGCGGGGAGGTGGGATTCCTGTGACTGTTTCAAGAGCTCTGTTAAAAACAGCACCTTTTTGCTTGTCCGTGGCAATACAGCAGCTCTGCTGAAGGTCCTTTTTCTGCGTGAGCAATCTCGGTGGTCTGGCACAGATCTAATCTGGCCCATGGCAGACTCTTTAAATTCCTTGAGCAGTTCCCATCAAAGCAGTTTTCAAAGTGGTTTTCTCTCACCACTTAAACTAGTATTTCCTAGGGCCATCGGGTAAAATCCCCATTCAGAGATGCTCTTTGCGCAGTAGCCGATGGGTGGCTTAGGACCAGAATAATCTTCTTTGCCTTAATCCCATCCTGCCACTTTGACCTTCCTTCAGCCATTGCACAGCCTGCTCGGCTCCCGCTGCCCACACAGCTCGCTGCGGCCAGGAGGACACCCCGGCTCCTCGGAGAGCTTCAACAGCCCCGCTAGCAGCAATGGCAGCGTGAAAGCAGACCCCGGTTAAAAATATTTACAGCTGAATGTTACTGTTGACTTGTCCTTTCCCGTTGTTGATGTAAACTTACAACTTCCATGAAAACTTGCTTTGAGCGTGTGAAACCTCCCTACCTGCCCATCAGCACCATGATGATCAACATTAGGAAAACAAACAACATTTTTCCTGGGTGAGGGAGAAAGCACAGCCTGCCCGGGGCAACGGGCAGCCGAGCTCTGGGAGGGAAGTGCAGAAGCATCCCTATCAGCTTCAGCATATGCTCAGGAATTGCAAAGATTAAGGTAATTAATTTTTTTTTTTTTTTTTTACCTGGGCCAATTTAGTTTGCGGGTTCAGCTGCCTTACTTGTACATTAAGTCTGTTTGTGTGGATCGGTACCTTTTGACCAGACTTTATAAAACATCTGTACACTAAATAAAGCATCTTTGTAATCACTGCTTGCCCAAATTGGGGGGAAAAAGAAATTTCTATAGATGAGAGCTATTGATCTCTGTAGCACGTCTACTGGCAGCTCTGCAGCTGCCTGCCCCTCCTCTCATCAGCTTCAATTTTAGTTGATAGTTTAAGTTTTGGGTGTTTGGTTTGGTTTTTTTTATGGGAAAGGTTTGGAAGCTAGTCTAGCATCTCCTGCTCAACCCCGTGCTATGTCATCGGATGTCCTGGAGCGTGCTGCTGCTTATGAAGGACTCCCCTGGGGCTTTGCACGCTGGATGCCACGGCTCTGCTTTGTGGGAAACAAGAGATGGCTCCCGGGGCGGGAGGTCTGCGCTTTGGGACCGCGGGAGCTGCAGGCAAGCAGGCAGAAGAAACGCTGCGGGCTGATTCCCGCTCTGGGGGAAATGCCCAACTGAGTGTGCAGGAATTCAAAAAGCAAAGAACATAATTTTCTGATATAGGTTTATAATGAATTTTGACTTAAAATAATAAGCAGTATACACAACATACAAGTGAGTTTTACAGAGACGCTCTTGTATCTGTTGACTTCAGAACCTACCAGTAAGTTCACAGATTTTTGTTCGCTTTCTCTAGCCCTCTGTGTCTGCCAGCATCTAGGGGTGGCCCTCGTCTTCGTGCGGTCATTCAGGTTTCAGTTCCAATTTCCAGCTCCGCTTGTCACCTTCGCTGGGGAGACGGGGAGAAGCCTCGTGCAGAGGTCGCTCTTGTTCAGCGGGGTCAGCGGTGCGGCCGGGGGCGGCGTGCCGGTCTGCTCGAGGGAAATGCAGGGGTCACGGAACTGTCTTACGGATTTGCAACACCCTTCCTCTGGCCTTGCAAAAAAGTACAAGCAAGAATGCTTTCTGCAAGAGTGGATTATTCTGAACTAGTGTTTTTCGCTGGTGAAACTTTACTGCAACGTAAATTCTCTGGGGAGGTGCAGGTTTTCGCAGCCATCACATCCCGACGATCGGTCCTCCAAGTCCCTCTCGGTTGCACCGTCCCTTTACAAAGAGAACAACGGGCAACGGTAGTTTCACAGTTTAAGCAGGGATTGCAGACTCCTCCTAGGTCGGGGATTAGTTTTGCTGAGCAAATGGAAGGGTCCACAGTACCTCCTGGGAAATGTAGTCCTTTCTTTAGTGCTTTGCAGAATTAATTAAATAAAAGCCATGCAGTTGAACTACAGCTCCCAGAATGTCACGGCCCTCAGGCCACAGGGTTTTAAAAAATTGCAAGGGGGGGTGGCAGTGGATTCTTCCCTCTGTGCTCCCATCGCCTCAGGTCTGGTCCAACCACTCGGCCCGTTTCGGTGCTTTACACGTGTGCACGTCCACAGTGTCCTCGCACTCCTTGCAGCGCACAGCGCAGCACCAGTGGAACTTGCACTCGCACTTGGTGACGCGAGTGACGCGCGTGGTGTCGTACCCCCGCCCGCAGCACATCACCTCGCAGCCATCTGTCCCGCGGGACATCTTGTTGCACACGCGACCGGCCGTGCCCAGGGAGCCTGGAGAAGGAAACGAGAGCGGGTCAGGGTGTTCCTCCTCCACCTTGTTCAAATGCTTCCTCCCCACCCCGCAGTTGCTGGCAGCGGTAACATTGGGTATCTACCATCTGCAATGGAGACCTCGGATATGACTGCCTTAGCAGTGGCGAAATCTCGGTGTTTCTGTCGCAGCACGTGCCACGGCGTGATGTCGCAGCGTGGCCTCCAAAGGCTGGGCGCAGGCTGCGGGAAGAGGTTGCGGAGCCCGTGCTTGCTTTGGTAAGGGCAGGGGTTGCAGCGTGGGTAGGGAGCCTGGCCAGGGATGCAGCGTTGGTGACCCTCTGCATGGCCGCGTCCCCACAGCAGCTGCTGGAGCCTGCACCCGCTGCTGCCCAGAGCACAAGAGTAGGGGGGGACGGGGACGGGCTCTGTGCAGCCCCCCTGTGCCCGGGGGGCCCTGGAGCAGTGCATGCCTGCCGAGCCGGGCTCTGCAGCTGGCAAAGCTAGAAATGTCTCCTCTGCTCGGGCTACATGCTCACTGAAGGGTGGTGGGAGCATGCACTGCCTTCTCCACCGAGCCCCTACGGCCACTGCAAGCCCCCAACCCAAGGGTGCTCCAGGCTGGGAAACCACTGACGATCTCTGCAGGAGCCAAGCAGCCCTGATGCCACCTTCCCCGCTCTCAGCCCAGGCTCGGGCTGTGTTCAGAGGAGAAGCCGGCAGCCTGCTGCACCAAACGGGCTCTTTATTGCCTATTTAAAGGGAGCTTTGCTCTGCAGGAGAAACGCTCTGAGGAAGCACTGCGCTACATTCACTACAAGGGGCCTGATGGGTTTGGATCTTTGGTGTAAAGCCAGGGGATTTTGGACAAACCCAGTCCTGTCTGTGCAGGTGTGAGGTGCTGCGGGGACCCAGTGCTCCAGCGAGCACTGACACCCGCTGAGGGCCTGGAAGACCCTGCAGTGCAACCCCCCACTGGGGAGCGGGGTTCGGTGGGGGAGCTGACGTCCCAGAGCAGCCCTGCCAGGCTGGGCTGGGTGCGAGCCACTGGCCTGTCAGGAGGGGAAGAGCAGCTGCTTTTGGGCAACGACTGGAGCTTTGGTTTTTACCTGCTGACTTGTCCATCACGCAGTAATCAGGTGAGTTCTCAAAATACACCAGATCTGTTTTCGTGGGCTTCCTGAAGTTCTTGTTGGCCACCGTGAAGCCAGTGCCGTCCTGGTTCATCGTCACCTGGATGGCCCCGTTGTATTTCTTCCTTAGGTAATCCCCTGTTTTTCGAAAATCTGACATTGCCAGCCAACAAGTCCTTAGTGTGCAGGAGCCGCTCACCCCGTGGCATTTGCACTCCAGCTTCAGGAAACGCTTCACAGCCTGCGGGAAGAGGGATGCCGTGAGGACCACCGCTCACCCTGGGCGTCAGACCTCGCGCCTGGATCCGCTTGTCCCTGGTGCAGCTTGTCCTGCACAGGCGAGGGTGGATGGGGCTCCTAACGGGAGAGGGGTGCTGCGTACAGGGACGCATTCCCACGGTCACCGATGCCAGCATCAGCGAGGACACGTGCTGCGGGCAAAGGTAAGCAGGGTCCTGCCGTCCCCACAGGGCTGTTCCCCGGGCAGAGCGTGCAGGGGGGCACTGGGAAGGCAGGGCAGTGTCCTGCCCCTGTCTGCAGCAGGACCGGCCCTCCATGGCCACCCAGGGTCCCGCTCCCTATGCCCGAGCTGCTCCCGCTGCCCATTCCCCTACCAGGATGGCTGGCCGGGCACAGGGCTCAGCTGCGGGGGCTGCACTCACCATCCTCCCGCAGCGGTTGTTGTGCAGGTTCATCAGCGCCCGGGCGTCCTTCACTTTCTTCTCCTTGGCGTCCACGAAGGCTTTGGCAAACCGGATCCCGTAGTTGATGTTGTCGCTGCAGCCGCCCCAGTCGAACTCCCCGCGCTCGTCCTTGGAGCGGCCCCTCTTGAGCGGGTCGCAGCTGCAGGCCTTCAGGTCCCCTTGGCTGCACGCCCGCGTGATGGCATAGACCACTCCAGCCGAGGAGATGGCGTAGACGAAGGCGGCCTCCCTGCTGCCTGCCGTGGGGAGAGGAACACGGATGGCGAGTGAGTGTGCCGGGCTGTGCCAGGCGTCTGCAGCCCACCAAGGAGCAGGGCACCGTATTGCAGCACCTTCGCGGCTGGGGGCGAGACCATCCCGCACGCAGGTAAGCCAAGTCCAGCCATCTCTGCTGGCCACCAAGTCCAGCCTCCGCTTCCTTGGCACCTCTCAACCTAAGGGGAATTTGATTTTGAGCCTCAGGGCTCAGCAGCTCAGGATGTTGGGCTGCTTTTGGGGCTGCCTGACCAGTCCCCCTCGCTGACCTGTGGCTCGGGGGCCATGTGGGTGCCCATCGGTGCTAAGACTGCAGGACCAGCCAGCACCCTTCGCCTGGGGCTGCCTCCCTCCCGGGGCGATGCTGAGCACGGGAGCTGGCGGCAGCTCCGGCCGGGCTCGGCTTTCCCCGCGCGGCACAGCGTGCCGCCTGCTATTTTATGTCTCTGGTTCGAGTTCGCAGCTGGTTTTATAATGCTGTAAAAGAAGCTGCAAATCAAAACCATCTTCGTCTTGATTTTGAGAGCCTTTGAAAGCAACTTCAAAGGGAGCAGAGCTCTCTTTGGGCCTCGCAGGATGGGGCTGTGGCAAGGAGCTTTCATCATTCCCCGTCCTTTGCCAGGAGAGGATGCAGGTGGGAGTAAAGGTGCGGTCATGGGGATGGAGAGGCTGAGACAGGCAGGCTGCAGCGTGGCAGGGTGAGTGCTGCGTCCCGGCACTTACAGCCCCCTTCCCTCCAGGCAGCTCCCCTCCGGGGGTCTGGCTTGCAGGTGCTGCTGCTCGTCCGCCCCGCCGGGGAGCTGCCCCATCCCCCCGCCAGCTGGGAGCAAGCCCCCCGCTCCCCGGCTCCCTCCATGGGTGCCCACATGTCCTCCATATGAGCCGCTCCTGGCGAGTGGAAAGGCTCTTCCCAGCCGCCTTTGATTTGGAGGCCGCGTGGCTGGATGCGCCCCGGCACGTCACAGGGCACAGCAGCATCTGTCCCGCAGCGCCGCTGCCTGCGCCGGGACTCACACCGGCTCGCGGGGTCCACTGACTGCTGGAGCCCTCCCGGGGGCGGCTGGAGCCCACGATGCTGCTCCTGCTCTGGAACCACCCCTCTCCCCATCGCACCTTTCCTCTTCACTCCTTGGGTACATCCCTGCTTGTGTCGTATTCATCCCTCACCTGGAGCAGGAAGGTCCCTCCCGGACAGGGTCTGTGCCCAGCCGTTTGCGCAGGGCTGGCGTCTGCCCCGTAGCCGTGGTCCTGCTCCACCTTGGAACCCGAAGTGAGGACTGGAGCCGCGGCTCTGCCTTGCCTCCCTTGCCACACAAGGGAACAGCCAGTTCCGCCGTGAACTGCTGAGTCCTGGCCAACCCTGCTCTCCAAATATTTATATATCCCATTACTGTTTACATATGAGCCTGTTCTCCGGAGGTGTCTCCTCCTTCCCCCTTCTGCCCCAGTGCTCCCCCTGCTCCATCTCATCTGGTGCAGCTATTCCAAATGCAGTGCTCTGCTCCCATTACTGCTTGATTAATTTACAGGGAAAGGCAAAGCTCTCCTAAGGGAGTAATGCAAGCCACCGGGCACGGCAGCCCAGCGAGAGGAGAGACTCTCCCAGGGAGACAAGGCACATGGCAGTGGGAAGGGGTTGGGGCAGAACCTACTTCGCAGCATGACCCGGCCGAAGACGGTGTGGTCCCGGTCCAGGGTGCTGCAGTTCCAGCGGTGGTGCCGGAACTGGTGCTGGCACTCCCGGATCCACTCCTTGGCTCCCTCCCCGACCGACTGCATGATGTCGGGGTACCTCTGGCACAGCTGCCGCTGCTTGTTCACCAGCCCGGGGATGTTATCGCAGATCACCCTCGCACCCAGCGCCCCGATGTACCTGCGAGAGAGAACGGTGCTGCGTTACCACGCTGCCCGCGGAGGGGGAAGGTGCACGGCTCTGGCTCCCTGGATCCTCACCCTGCTGGAGGGGGGCTTGTATTGAAGCCCACCTTTCCCTCTTTTCTTTCTAGCTGTGTCACAGCTGCTCTGGGCTCTGCCGAGGGCGTCCCCCCCCCGCAGCAGCGTGCCCTCCTTGCAGCATCCCCTCGGCGTGGGCGAGCCAGGGAAGCTGCAGACCACGCTGCTTGGCTGCGCAGCGAGCCCTGCCTGGTGCTGTGGTTCAGACAGGCAGGAGGCAGGGACAGGGCTCCACTGAGCCATCACAGCCGCTGGGCTTTGGTGTTTGTGTTTAACAAAATAATCCCGAGCCGCACCAGCCTGGGGCGGGCAAAGCTCTGCTCTGTGCATGCATCCCTGCGGCAGGGAGCAGGGGGCCCTGTGGAGCCCACCTCCCCCAGGAGACAGCCAGCTATGGGTGCTGCAAGTCGTGGGGCCCGCAGCCCTGAGAGCCTGGGCTCTCTGTGAGCTCCTGGGGCAGCAGTGGAGAAACTTGCTGATGTGCAAAACCTCCCTCCCACCCTCTTCCCTACATCCCAGCCCTGCTCTGCAGCCCGGCCCTGCTGAGTGCAGCAGGATGTAGCCCAGCTGAGACCAGCGCGCCCGGCGCTGGTGCAGGCTCTGCAATTCCTCCTGCCCGCACGCTGGCTGGGGCACACTGCGGGGACAGCGGTCCATAGCACAGGCACCTGTGTGATGCTCGGGTCAGGGAGAAAGAGGAGCAGGCTTCCCCTCTTGCTGCTGCAGTCCTCCTTCACACTGTTATCCCCTACCTCTCTAGCCCTCTCTGCGTATCTCTTGCACTGGCGAACATTTATGATCATGTCCTGAGGCTGGATAACTGGGAGAACTGTGCTGCGTCTCCTGTCCTGCCTGTACCCTGCCTGTACCCCGGTCCCCTCCCTGCAGCAGTGGGGAGAGGGCGGGAGCTCGGAGCAGAAGGACAATGCGCAAACAACGGTCTGGTAGAGCCTGGCTGAGTCCCACGGGCAGCTTTCCACGGCCACGGGGGAGGGACCCCGAGCTCTGCCTCGCACCAGCCCGGACAATGGCGGCAACATGGAATTTTCCATCCTGGTCAGCCCCTGCCCGCGCCGCCCGCTCGCCCCAGCCAGGCAGCGGCTGCTTGTGCCGGAGGGTGATGTTTACCACAGAGCGCAGAGCTGCGATTCTGGCTGGAAGGGATGAGGTTTGGGTGGGATTCAGATTTTTCAACCCCCCCAAACTGGAAGTAAGAACCTCCCTTTAATAATAATAAAAAGCAATAAGCTTGGGCAATATTTCATTGTCTCTCCCTGGCCATGTTCTATCACTTCTATCAGCCCCAGAGAGAGCTCGCAGGCTCAGGAAAGCCCTGCGAGCACAGAAAGCAGTGGGATCTGTTCCCTCTTTTAAAATATTTTGTTTAAATGCTGGCAGAAGCACAAGGTCATCTCAGGCTGGAGCTGAGGATAATAAACCCGGCTCCCCATGGCTTTGCAAGCCCCAAGTCTGAGGGCCAGTGAGCATTACTTTCGCAGGCTTGCTCGTCAGCCTTTCATCTTGCAGCAGGGGGACAAGGGAGATGGTGGAAGCCGTTTAGGAAAGAAAAGCCATCAGGAGCTCACTGAGCAATGCCGACTGCGGGCATTTAATTGCCTCGCTCGTGGTGGGCTGCGAGAGCAGCTGGTTCCTTCCCGTGGTGAGCAGAGCGGAGGAGCATCCCACCAGCTGGACGATGGCACAGGCCAGCGGTCTCAGGCACCCTGGCCCTGAATTCCCAGTCTGCCCAGTCCCAGTAAGGATGGGGACAGCTGATGTGTCCCTGCCTGCGCTGCCAAGAGCTGGGATGAGGCTGCTGGGAGGCAGCGGTGTTGCAGGATGGAGGTTGCAGCAGTAGCCAAAGCTCCTCTTCGCTGGAGGAAAGAGATGCTGGAAAAGGTGAAAGGGTCTTTGATGGGCCACGTCACCAGGGACCTCGCGGGGACCCCATCCCCGTCCACCTCCAGCGCTGGTGAGCTGTGACACTGGTCTTTGGTAACGGCAGTGGGCTGTAAGCAGGGCTGGCTTCGGAGAGACCTGCTGGCAGAGGAGCTGCCTCCACGACGGGAGAACCGGCAGATAAAGCACTGACTAACACCATCCCCCGGGAGACTGAGATCAAGGAAAACCCTCCAGACAAGATAAACACCAGGCACTCCCTTTTTCACACTGGGAGCTAATTACTTCTCGTTAATTCTCCTGCCAAATACCCAGATCAGAGCAAACATTATCAGCAGGAGAAAGTGGAAGGAGAGCAGGGTGAAGGGCACCGACCGCCGAGGGAGCACCTCGCCGTGCAGGGTCCCAGACCCCGCCGGGGCCGGCGGCTGCATCTCCCTCTGCTTGTGGCTGCAAACAAGCAGCGTATTTGCTGCGGTACCTACAGGCCTCCATCAGAGACTATGTACCGAAACCTGTCCCACGATTGCTGTGGTGTTGGAGAGCGGCACGGCACAACAAGGGGGGAAATTTCTCATGTGTCTTGGAAAGGCTGTGGTTACCTCGGTGAGACCGAGCTCTTCCATTTTGTGAGAAATGCTCCAGTTGGGTTCAGTTACTCTGAAATGGAGCGAGATGGGGAACATCAGAAAATTCTGCCAAGCAGAGTTTTGGGAGGGAAAAAAACCCAAACATTTGTTTTGGATTGATTAAAGCATCCCCTCTTATTTTATTTCTAAAAATCTGTGACATTTTAAAAAACACTGAAATAGGAAAGACAATGGATGTTCTGAGAAGTCCCCAGCTGCCTTATCAGAACTTCATTTTTAAAAAATGAAGTTGTGCTGGAAGTGGCAAATTTCTGTGAAATGCTGTACTCTTGGGGAATCTGCATTTTTACAGGAAAAAAAAAAAACCAAACCCAAAAACAACAAACCCAAGCCCTGAGTTCAGAAAAGTCTGTGAGAGGGAACTGCTCCTGATGCTGGAGGCTGCCCAGGCCTGGACTTCTGCATGATCAGGAGGAGAGAGGCAGGAGCAGCCTGGGAAGGAGGGAGGGAGTTAATAATTAAGTGCATGTGGGGATAACGATCCCCCGCCGTGCCAAATGGGGTTCCATGGGATGCTGCCTCCTGTGAGGTCCTCGCGTGGTGCCTGTAAAGCCCTTGTATCGCCCTCTGGCCAAGGGCAGAGCTGTTTGCTCAGGCAGAGGGGCTGGCACTGATCCCTCCGACAGCCTTCGGCTGCGTGATGCTGCATCCGTTACTTTTTGCAAATCAGCGTGCAATATTATTTCCCATTTGCTCCTAGAGTTCAGCTGCCAGGAGGCGGGTGCGAGCTGCAGCGCTGCGGGAAATGCTGTGCCACCACGGTGGTACTGGACCTCCGCCTTCCCTTCCCCGTTCCCCGCAAGGAGCATCTTGTACAGCAGCAGAGACCAGAGGCATCATGTTCCGAAGGCAAGTGCTTTCAGAGCCTGCAAGGTAAAGGAGGTAAAGCACTCCTCGCTCCCCGCTAGCCTTTCTCCTCTCTGCAAGTACTCTGCTGCACAGACACAGCCACCGGTGCAGCTGAAGTGAGCTCATTCCCGACAGCCCGGGAGCGCTGGCGGCTCCGATGCATTGGGGGAACAGGAGACAACTGTCACATGTTGGCTCCCAGTTGTTTTTCTTGTTCTAAGAGTCTGCTGACTTCGACTCTTGTAAACAAGGAGAAACCTAAATTGCTTCTAAGATAAACATGCAAATCAGAGGCAGACGCATCTATTTACTTGGCAGCATGTATTTTGTGCTAACCCCCTTCCACGGCTTGCCTCCGTGCTGTATGTGTCCTGCTCCCGCACTTCCCAGGAGAGCCTGCCCGGCTTCCCAAAGGACTTGCAGACTCCTCAGGGTGCTCTCGCAGAACCGCGTGGCCCATGTCATGTCTCTGCCCTCAGCTCAGGCTGCTCTAGTGAAAGTCTCAACAGCTCAGAGCTTTCCTATCCACAGCAGCTCTCTTCCCTGTACGTGCAATTCCCTGCGGGTTAGGAGGGGATCCCCGCAGTTGCATGTGGGCTGCGAGTTCCGGGGATCCACTGCATCTTATCCCAGGGATCGGATCCCAGTATGCCTCGCTCCTTCTCCATCTTCACCGTGCTGGAATCTTTTTCTGGATCAATAAACTGTGCTTTTGGCACCGACACAGTGTATGCAGCTTCCCAGTTGCTGAGTTCTTTAGTAGGAAAGACCAAAAGGCTCAGGAAAAGCCCCCTACCCCAGGTACAGCAGTGGGGAGATCAGGAGTGTGGCCAGAGTCTGAGGCACTTAGATGGGAGCTTCTACTGCTGGAGAAAGGAGACCTCTCCGGCAGCCTGGGCCAGCCTGCCCCGAACGTGTCAGCGTAAGCCCGGCCAGGTGAGCAAACCGGCTGCGGCTGCTGAGGGGTTTCTCCAGCTCCCAGGAGCACCAGGCTGTGTCTACGGGGGCTTGGGGGCCGCTCTGCAAAACCAGTGGTCAGGGGGAACCAGGTCTCTAAAGATCAAAGTAGGAAGATGCTGCAAAGGGGAATTACGTTTCCCTTTCACTATAAATAACCAGCCCCCTGCAATATAGACCTGAGCACCTCCAGATTTCTTTCTTTTCTAACTCAGAGCTGTTGGCCATAATTTTTGCTAAAACCCTGCTGGCTGACCCAGAGGTTTGTGGAGCAGCTCTCCAGTCCTGAAGATGCAACGGCAGCGAAGCCCGTGTGTGCTCCCGGCTCCGACCTTCACCAGCCACCTGCAAAACGGCGTTTCTCTGGGGAGTCGGTAAGTCAGCCCGGCAGAGGCGACCTCGTATCTCTGCGGCGTGCCCGGCTGCCACTTGCTTTGCATAGGGCTGGGGCGAGCGTTGCAAGGAAATACCAGCCATTGCGGGGCTGGGGTTGTTGCGGTGGCCGGGGAAAGCTCTGGTGGTATCACAGCGTGGTATCGCAGCCTTGTTGTGTGGTATCGGCCTT